GATGCGCACTGGTCCCTTCATGGACCAGCCCTCATTGTACCGAATGATGGGATTATCCCATCATCAGTCGTTAACAAACTAAACCATGGTGATGGGATAATCCAGTCATCGGTCGGGAAGAGGTTTAAGTGTATCGAAAGCCCAAATTTTTTTTAGTTTTGCATAAAATGAGAAAGCATTATAACTCCTCTCAGGTCTCTGTTATCTTATAATTAGATATTTCTCTTTTCGCCCCGGTAACGTTGGAGAAGGCAGGAGAAGTGAACAATCTCAACATCATCTCAAACAACATCATTGAACTGGCAAGTGAGCTGAATTGGAGAATGTTTCCAAATCAGCAATTGTGGCCTAGATTGTTCACTCCTCTTGCCTTCTCTAAACCCTTCACCCTTTTGTGATTAGCCCTGTGAGTTTTCACAATGCAAAAGGAATGTGTGCTTTGCTCAATGAATAAGGTATAGCTGTGTTCACTTCAATCATTCAATCATGTGCAAGCAAAAATACTGTTTTTTTTCCATATAACTTCCTGGCATATGATTGTGTATTCAAAGTAAAAACAGCCTCACCTTATTTACTGAGCTACCATTAGATATGCTAAGTTAATTAACTTCACTATCTGATATACAGATAGAAACTAAAAATCTTTAAAACAATAAAAATGTGGCAAAGCTAGCAAAAATATCACATAAAAAATTGGTTTCAGCAAAAATTGGGACAATAACGTTGCCTTTGTAAGAGGCAAAGGGTATTAAATTATACTGTTGAGAGTTATAGCTACCCAATGTAAGTTAAAGAATATTGTTTGGAGTGCGAAATAAAAAGAATAAACAAACAGCAGAACAAAAATACATTAAAAAACAAGTTAAAACTTTATTTTATAATTAACAAAATAACATAAAGTAAAAATAACATAAACATAATCTATTTACAAAACATAAAACACAGAATCACCTCTAATGGTGAAAATAAATACAATAGAATAAATGTAATATACAGAATGGGAAATATATTATTTATTTTAGCCAGTACTTTTACCTGTATCTTTTGTCAAGATGTAATGTGAAAATGAATTACATAAAGATATTTATTTATTATTAAATTATCTATTTAATTAATACCTATATGGGTATGGCCTAAAAGTCCCAGTACATACAGTAAAACCCAAATTCAAGTTTGTATTTTGTGGTTAGGAAATTGTTGGCAAAACGAACACTTTAAAAATAAAATTGGAAACAAAAACATGAAAACATACGTATTAAAAAAAAATTCAATATTTAAATTTGCATCAAGCCATTTTATAGTTATTTCAGAGACATACATTGTTGCAATTGTGATAACTTTTAAATGTTTAATAATTTGGAAGAAAAAACAAGTGTCTATTTTGTTGGAAAGGATGATTAGTTAATAATCCAGCCCAAAGAGCCAAGATGTGCAGAACTGTACAGCAACAAATCAAAAATCAGCTTTTAGTAGTTAGTCGTACTCAGCCTAATGACTGTGAGTGTTTCATTGGCTTCTCTGACTTACTGAATTTTACTGCTTTTTAAACATACCCATCATTTTCAGAAAGGTGGCGGGGGAATTTAAGCAGTACATTGTTTCCTAAGGACAAAAAGGTATTTCACATAACTTTAGTTCAAATACATTCCTATAAATGCATTTATATATATAATATGTTTGTGAATAGCAGCTATTTCATATAAACACATGTCTAATTCCCCGTTCAGATGTCTGCTGATCTTATTCACACATCTGTCTACAGTGAACATCATTCATTAGGCTTCCAAATCTATTTCCAACACGGCAGCTTCCATTAACATAAACATTTCTTAAAAAATGTAAATATGTCATACAACATGATTCTCTGCAGAAAATAAATTAGAGCTATAAAAAGTAACTCCTAATTATAAATTAGGCAAACGGTATATTTCCATTACCAAGAAATCTTATAGCAAATTGACTTGCAGCTTGAGAGAGCATATGCATGACTGCATAACATAAAAACAAAATGGCAGAATGATATTTAAGACACCTTCAGATATAAACTGAACTGTTTTGTCATTTGTCATGACAATAATAAGCATTACAAAGGTATACAATAGGATGGGCATATTACAAACAGCTATATTCTCACACAACCCCATTTAAATGTTGTTAAAGGTGATAATGACAGTTTAGTCTTTATAAGATTATGTTGAAATAGGCTATCCTGATAATATCAAATAATGTTGGGTGTAGAGGAGAGTTCCTCCGACAAGGAGCTGTGACTGCCTCCAAGCAAGGACAGAAACAAGGCTTATATTACTGTCAATAAGTCAATTACCACATTGCCTAGTGTTCTGGTCCCTTCATGTTAACTGCATAAAGAAATGCTGTGCAACAAGCATCATTAATACTCTTTTTAATATAGCACATTGTAGCCAAAATGTAATGACTAAGACAATGAAAGAAACCATCAAACAACATCCATGGTTAGCAAACATATGGACTAAGCCACATGTAAACATGCGAACCACAGCCTAGATCTACTGACAACTGAGAACACTGGAGGATGGGCAAAACAACAAATAATTCTAACATATTTTGTAATATTGAAAAGTATAATGTGCTGCATATTTCAAAACATAAATAATATGTTTGCACGACACTGAATTGTGAATTTCAGCTGTTTTGTGCAATTATTTATCTTCAATACATCAGTATTATGCTAAACCTTTGAAGCTTTCTTCACATTATTCACCCAATTGGGTAAAGGTGCAATTAAATAAAGAAAAAAAACTTTTTGTTTATTTTTGGATAGATGGGGATAGGTTAAAACCTCTGTTAGGTTTTTTACTGCAGATTCTATCCCCAACTGGGAATTTTCCAAAAATTCCTTTAAAACCAAGACAGGTTCTCCGAGCTTATAGAAGCTTTCATCACATGAATACAACCTTTTCCTTAATCAGGTGTGTTACTTTAATTCAACAAACATCATGTGTATACCTTCTGTATCTATTGCCTACCAAAATGGAATCTAATCTTTTGTCTAAAGGGATGCCAGGACAAATGAGCTGCTCTCCTTATTTTCCCATCACTAATTGGTGAAGAGTCACTCATCAGCACCAAGCTTGTGGACCAGATATCAGGACACCCAATATGCACCCTCTAAATCCAGTGAAACAACTCACCAAATAATAAAGAAAGAATAAGTATGCACCCCCTAGTGTGAAATGTTAGCAATGGCCGTCCCCATAATTCTCTCCTGACAGATTTCCTAAAGTATACTAATGATGTTTTTTTCAAGAAAATGAAAATTTGTCCTGCTGAAGCAAGCGTGAGAATACTGCACCAAAATGAATGGGTGGAAAGTTTAAAATGATTGAAAGCCCATTTTACATCACTGGACTGGTTTTTAATTATTTGGTTATTTTAATTTATTCTAAAACATAGTTGATCGAAAGATAAAGAAAAAAAAATGACATACATACCTTAATACATAAGCCTTGATGAGCTTGTATTCTTCAAATCTAAAGTTTACAATATATATACAGAACATATACAATATACAGCCAAGGGATGTAATCCAGAATATTTATCATCTGGCGTTTTCTAGATAAGGGAACTTGGAGATCTTTACATTCAGGCACCATTCACACCTGAGCGGCTCTCCATACAGCCGAATATGCGCAGAGCCACTCTAAACACAAAAAACAATGCAGTTCAATGTGCATCGTTCACACCATTGCAGGTACTGGGGCCCCCGAAATAGCGCAAGCGTGATAATCCGGCAGATTACACACGTTCGCTATTTAATAGCTGCAAACAAGCAGCATCAGCGCGGATTAAAAAACATTTGCTTTTTCATCCTGCATGGTCTTCCGCACGGAAAACCGCAAATGCTATGTGTAAATGCAGCCCTAGGATCCATTCACACAGGAGCGGTTGTCCACGCGTAATCGGCTGTACAAATATGCACAGAACCGCTCTAAACATTTTAAAAAATGCACTTTAATGTGCATTGTTCAGACTATTGCGGGGACCGTGTGGTAAAAAAAACATGCGTCCTGCAAAATAGTCCAAGCGCGATTTCATGGCAGATTCCGCACATTCGGAATGCGCGGAATCTGTGAGTATGTTAAGGTTTGCGTGGTTTCGTTTCGCACGGTTTTCCGTACAAAAAAAAGCGCAGAAGTCGCTATCGCTATGTTTGAATGGAGCCTTAGTGGTGGCAAAGGAAGGTAGTTACATGCTAATTCCTGACCCTACTGCTAAGCTTGACATCTATTAATTAAACTCCAGGTTAGACTATCTGCTTTCACTGCAGGTTTGGCACCACTTTGCTCTTTCCTACACGAGGTACAAGACCAGGAAATGAGCTGAAAAGATGTATCATACATCATCCCTAGGGTCCACCTGAGCAGCGATATCAACTGTTCATAAAATTAGAAGCACCCCACAGAAAAAGGATGTAATTTAAGCTTGTCTGCAAAGTCAGTAAACAGGTGCCCACAAACGTGTTTACTGGAGGATTTGTAATTCTGTCCAGTCAGTCTTGTTAACCAAGTTCCCCTACCAGACAGCTCAGTCAAGTCAGTTTTATCCCTTTTCACTACTGCAGCTAAAAAATACAGTTTAGTCAAGGACCTACCTCCAGCCTGCCGACTGGACAATGAAGAAGCTGCATCACACAGATAGGATTATCCCTGTTCCCTTACCTCTTGTAAGCATGTTTCACAGTGTTAAACTGGCAGCAGTGTTTATTTTATATAATTTCAGATAATATATTTTTCTGAAAATCAGATATTTCTGGATAATATGTTTCCACAAAAAAAAAGAATCCCATGCCTGTAATTCTCTTTTTAAATATGCACGTTGCTCATCAGCTGTAACCTCCATTAGTAGTAAAGCTAAAAGTTGTCTTACTAACATAAAAAAAATAACCTGTAATAACATACTAAAATAAAAATGTCTGTTTACATATTAGAGGCAGCATTCTTTTTCTTAGTCTGTCTTACAGTTCAAAGGACAACTTTAATAACAAATCCTGGCGCTAATTCTTTGCCTATTACCTGTTGCATAAAAGCTGATTTCTGATTAGATTGGTGTGTTGTTTGGCTTTCATCGTCACTGTCTGGTGGCTCCTCTTTCACCTTCACAGGTCCGAAGTGGTCAGTTCTGACGTCAGTACTGCTGTGACTTCTTATGTTGGCTAAGCAGAAGCCCCTCTCTTCTCGCATCGGGTAATCACTTTGCTGTTCTTCTTCAGCTTCCTCTAGATGGCTTCCAGGCTGGCGAAGTTGTTCAATTGATTTTGAAAGCATCTTTAAGAAATAAAAATGTAATAATGAATTATATTGCTAAAATTCTAGAAGGTAAAACAACTCATAAACAAAGGGGCAGCTGTCCAGAGACCAATGACAATAGGGAGTAACATTTCATATTGGAAAAATAGAGATTTACACAGCTCTGACACACAACGACGCCTCTTATGGTTAAGGAAGACAATGGTGCCCTCTTTGCCACCCCAGCTTGGTTTTTAGGCAGACTAATTAGGTTATTTTTTCTGCTCATTCTGCTCTCTCCTTCTATCAACAAATTATTTGTCAGCACGTTTGCAAGCAGCACACCTAATTAGTTCTCAGTGTTGACCCATTCCCTGCCAGACTGAATGCTGCTGTATAGGGGATTGCAGTAGGCTGATATCAGGTCAATCTCAGGCACTTGGGAAACAATGTGGCTAGATGATTAGCCCACCAGCCTTGCAGCACTAGGGTTCGTATTTCAAATCCAAACAAGGACATCACCTGCATGGCGTTTGCAAGTTCTCTATGTGCTTGCGTAGTGGTTTCCTCCCACACTCCAAAGACATGTTGGTAGGTAAGTTGGCCCCAGTATGTGTATGCATGTGAGTTAGGGACCTTAGATTATAAGCTCCTTGAGAGCAGGGACTGATGTGAATGTGCAGTATATAAAGCACTGTGTAAACTGTCAGTGCTATATAAATGCCTGTAATAAATGCACTGCTTACATTTAAAAAATAAATATAATAATGTATTATTAAATACAGAGCTGCATTATTCTCTGTATGTTATTTCTGACTAGACTTCAGCTGCAAATATGCTTTTGAGGCCTATATATGAGGTGACTTACAGGGGTTGATTTACTAACCTTATAAACACACCACGAACATGTATACACCTCTGTAGTGTGTTCCCTCCCAGCATGATCTATGGGTGGAATCTAAACACCTTTGTAGTGTGTACACACCAAGCAGGTGTGTTGTGCAAAGCCCTGCATGAATTTGCGAGGTGATGTTGTGTAAATTAGCTCTATGTTGTGTTGCTTGCGTTGATGAATGCAGGAATGTAAATGCATGAGCTAAATATTTTTGTCTAAACTGTGAAGCAGCATTATATATGCATCATGTGCATGATGTTTCCATATATGGCATTAGTGGAAATATGCTTTTAGAGACTTTTTGGTTGATAAATACGTTTTGCTGTGTGAAAATCACACGCACCTGGTGCATGCGTGTGTTTAGGTTAGTAAATCACCCCCACAATCTCTAATATGATTCTTACAGATATTTTTAGCAGAAGAGCTACTGCCCTGGGAGATATTGAATGCAAAAGAAGATTTACATCATGGTTCTTTATTTATGAAGTACAGAAACATTAAGGCTCCGTTCACACCAGGAATGTGTCCCGGTCACTGAGCTATGTAGGGAGGAGGGAGGAAGGAGACAGGGAGGAGCCTCCCTGTCCCTCACCTGTTTGTTACTGATGAGGCATCTAGATGGATGCCATCAGTCTTTTTTTATTTTATTTTTTATTGGACAGCTTGGACCAATGGTGCTTTGCCATTGGGCCAAACCATCTACAGAGCTTAATCCTCTGACTCCAAGTCAGAGGCTTTTTTAGCTCTGAACTAACTGTGTTAGGTTACACACAACTGCAGGGAAGCCTGCTGATGTATAACCTAATATAGCTGCCAAAAGCCAGATGAAGCGCTGCCTGTAATTAACAATCGGTGCTCCATCCACGACAGGTCACACAGAGGGGAAGCTTTCCCTGATGTATAACCAGTTATATGTCGGTCTGAGGGGAGATAAAGTTGTCCGCTTCAGACTTGAAGCTGACAGCTTTTTCTTCCATAATGGCAGGTGAGGCTCTGGCTCACCTGCCTCCCCTGACCATTACTAGTGCCATTACTAGAGGCCGAGCAAAGTCAATTTTCCATGCGCGTTTGCCTACTTGAGAATGTGCACGAATACGCAGGGAAAACCAGAGAACACATGTCGCCAAATTTGTGACATGTAGTTATTTTCCGTGCTCCAAATGCAGGAAACAAAGTCCCACAAACATGCAGGAACATGCCTTCCATGCGGGAGCATGAGGTGTGTGCCTGCTACTCCCCTAAATGAAGGAGCCTAAATTTTTTTGAGGACTATAGGTTACAAAGTCTATTTATTAAAATTGACATAGCTTTTCATCCAACAATAATGCAGATACAATTATTCTGTGTGAATTAACCAGTTGTTGAAGAATGTGGCCAAACCGAATGTTCTCAATCGATCGTTTTATGCTATTTTCTATTCTGGTCCAATTTATTTAGGCTATTCTTTTTGGTTGAATGTGTTTAGGCTATTGCTTTAGGCTATTTTTGGTTGAATGTATTCAGGCTATTGTTTTAGGCTATGTTCTCATCTGGTCGAATGTATTCAAGCTATTGATTTAGGCTATTTTTGATTGAATATATTTAAGCTATTATATTAGGCTATTTTATCTTCTGGATGAATAAACTTAGGCTACTGTTTTAGGCTAATTCCAGCTCAATGTGTTTAGGCTATTGTTTTAGGCTATTTTTGGTTGAATATGTTTAGGCTATTGTTTTAGGCTATTTTTGGTTGAATGTTTTTAGGCTAATGTTTTAGGCTATTTTCTCTTCTGTATACAAAAGTGTTCAACAAAAATAAACCAGAAGCAATGAATATGACATTTGATACAAACACAAATGAAACTATGAAATCGTTTAAAAATTATCACAATAAATCCTCTAACATAGACATAAACAACGCTTCAACTAATTCCATAAGATGCAAAAACTAAAACAAAATATAGTGCTCATGAAATCTGTATATCACAAGAGATGGGAAATCAACATATAGTGGTTAAATATTTCAGAATCATAAGGTGTAAAGGTAAAGGACTGAGATACGGCACAGCCGGTGCTGCCTGGAACAAGATTATTTCCGGGATATAGTTGCCCATGCCACTTGATCCTTCTACCAAATGGAACTGATGTAATGGCGTATCCTGTGTAGCCATGCCCTACATGTCCTGTCACAAATACTTCCTTAGGGTCCCTTTGACTTTTTGTAAAAAAGGTGCAATAGTACTGGTGAGTTTTGGTTATCATCAGGTAGTGGATTGCTGTTTCACCTCTGTGTGAGAGATGACCAGAAGTCTGTATGAAGACACAATTTTTTGGACTCTCTTCTGGTCAAATATTTTTTGGCTATTTCTTTTGCTGTAGTAAAATAATGGAACACAGGAGACTTCCAGTAATTGATGCACAGGTCATTGATATAAGATAATGAACACATGCATGTTGTGCTGATGCTTGTATTACTCTACATTTGTAGATAAGTACCCCAGTAACATACCTGCAATACTTTTAACTATCTGCATTTTCACCTCTGCATTATTATCTTGATGGATTATTCTTTTACAATCACTGTTTTCTGCTGCATGTTTTATTACACACAAGTAAGGGTAGGTGTCTCCTTTGTACTATTATTTTACTACAGAAAAGGAAATAGTCTAAAAACATTTCAGCAGAAAAGAAAACAGCCTAAAACAATAACTTAAATTAGGGATGCACCAAAATTAAATTTTAAGAGTGCAACCAAAAATAAAAATGTTGTCAGGTTGACTTGTTTTTCCATTCTTTTTACAATTTTTACAATTATTTTTAATTTTTTTTATCATTTATTAATTTTTTTTACTTTACTGTTAGGAGCTTTGGGGAAATATCAGGGGTCTAAACAGACCTCTGATATCTCCCTTTTAAAATAGAAAAAGAGATTGAGGATACAGAGTCCTAAATCTCTATTTCTGCAGCCCATGTTATGAATAAACAGAAAGCCTCTATACTGAGCCCTACTGTCCATTCATAAACTGTGGAGATAGTATCAGTTACTATGTACACAATAATGAACGAACAGGAAGCTATGTAGAGCACCTGTTCATTCAAAACTGGGGACACAGTAAACATACTATGTCCTCAGTTACTTACAAACACTTGACGATCAGTCCTGATCGCTGAGTGCTTGTAACCCACTCTCCATCCTGACTCTTCCATCTGTCAGGAGGCCGAGCGGGGTGGAGCAGGAAGAAAGCGCGGTCTCCTGTGACAGCTGACAGCTCTCTCCTCCCCACACCACCCCACTTAGCCTCCTGGAAGCTTCTCTCGCCCCCGCAGGGCACCAGCAGCTTGATCCCCCGTGTCCCCTCGGATCCCTGCTGCCTCTGCCAACACAGGCGGGGGAGAGCAGCGGGCATCGGAGGGGACAAACTGTATTCTAGGCTGTATTTTCTGCCATTATGGTACTATCTGCATTTTGCCCAAAGTACTGTTTTCGGATGAAATATTTCAGCCACTGAAATTTCGGTGCATCCCTAACCTAAATACATTCCACAAAAAAAGAACCTAAAGCAATAGACTAAATACATTTATCAAGAAGAGATTATAGCCAAAAACAATAACTAAAATGTATATATTCAACCAATTATAGCCTAAATTAATTGGATGACAAAAGTGAACAGGACTTCACTCCCATTCAAGTTAAGCAAATATTTACATAGCAAAGTGAAGATGGTCTACTCCTTTAGTAAACCAACTTCAGTGAGTTTCGGTGTGAGAAGGAGTAGTAAAGCACAACCACTGCATACCAGAAAGAAGAGTCTCCTCTTATTATAAGCCAATATTGCTGCCCGATTTACATATAATTAAAAACTATAAACTGAAAGGCATGTTTAAAACATTAACAAACACTGATAACATTATAGACATCCAACTGATTTCGTTCACAAGTATATCTAAAAGAAACTTTGGAAATTATATATATTTCCATTCAACAAAAAAATTATATTGCCAGATAGCAAAAACAAGCACTTACAAACAGTTCTCCTTCAAATATTTCTGTGATTTAACAGATTAATGCTTTAAGGATCCAAAAAGCAGGACAAAAGATAAAAAATATTCCCAATATATCTGATGGTAATTCAGTAAAGTAAGGGGCATTATAAAATGGGTATTC